TTTGTTGACGATTTTTTCTCTAATTTTCCCGTGTGGTATGAAGCATTATCTAATACTATAACCGAATTATCTTCAGGCTTCCGGAGAGTATTTGAGAACCAATTTTCCAACGAGGATCCATCCATTTCTTCATGGTAGTCTCCCGTTTTTTTGGATTCAAATGCCTATAAAGCATCGGATACAAGTCCATCTTCATTACCGATGTGGCAAATTATTATCAATGGCTTCCCTTTTCCTAAAAATAATTCATTTTGGATACTCAAAAACCGCTCCCATTGAAAGCATTAAAAACCCAGCAAAATGATTACTTGATTTCTTATCTCGATATAGTTTAAGCATGTACAAAAACAAAAATAAAATATAATTTTAGTTGAAATTCTTCATCTTACAAGTATTAAAAAATATGTAGGAGTCAGTGCAATCATACCAGAAATGTTGTGTTTTGAAATATTACCTGAGTGATTTTTTAATCCAGTGGATAATCCATTCAAGTCAAGACAGCTTGCTTTGAAGATTTTATGGAAGAATCCATTCAAACCTTCGCCTGTGTATACCCAGCCAATGACCCATGTTCCATCTAGGTAGTATATTTTCCTACCTTCTGCACGAAATTTTCTGATTTGTCTTAGATAGTCCGTTCTCCAAATAACTATTTCGTCTTTTTCCAATAAAAGACTGTTCCTTCCCAGCTTTTTGTATTGAAACCCCATTTCTTTTAGAAATTTATGGAAGGCAAATCTCTTGAAACTTGGCAAGTCATTATTCTCGTTAACCAGCTTCAGCACTGTATCCACCGTTGGTGATTCATTACGAAAGAAACAATTGTATACAATTCTCATTATGGCGGTACTGTCGAAGACATCTATGGCATTGTTGATTTTTTTCTTGATGGATACTTTTTTGGGTCGACCAGTGAATGGTTAGATCTGTACTTCCGAACAATTCGGTAAACACTTGCGCGACTAACGCCCGAAATACTTGCTACTTTGCAAACAATATCCTGACCACTTGAGTCACTCCTTCCTTGCATTTCGCGATTATTAATTGTTATAATTATTTGTTTTTCTCTAACGCTAAAACGAAGCCTTTTAGCTCTTTCTTTAGGCGGTGTGCAGCTTATATCAAGGACTTCATCAGCTGTATCCGTATCAGACATTTTGAGTTCTACAAAATTAAACTGACAAATTTAATAAGCACACAGTAATACCAGTATAAATCTGATGCCAACTCTGTACTATATATATATATATATAGCATTAACGGCCAGCTACCGTGCCAACCTAAAGTTTGGCAAACGGATCTGCAACAGCGAAAGGAATGCGACCGAAAATATTCGATATTGCCAAATTTAACTACAAAAAAGCAATAATGATAATAAAAGTAATTTCAATGACTTGAAAATCGATTTTTCACAATTCCAAATAATAATAATTCAAAATACTGAGTATTTTAATGGGTTGTTAGCTCTATTTGTATTTAATAACTATTTTTTACTACTGAATCGTATTATAAGTAAACATTTTTCCAAAGATCTTATCGACATCGGTTGAGCTGGCAACAACCACCCGAAAGGTATATTGGACACCGCCTAAACAAATCTGATTGGCGGATATCCTCACATGTTTTGTCGCCATGAGAAAATTCGACTCCCTATTGGGTACCGTCCCAGACAATTTTTTGCTCCTTTCTTAGAATATCCATACTATTGAAAAGTCCAGTGGCGTAGGTTTTATCTCCGTTGATTGTCGAGTTTTACAACTATTATTGTTAACTATTAATTGTTCTATTAAGTTTGTATGTTTAGTGCTGTGTGTTTTTGAATAGTTTAGTGTTTTGTTATTTGTTATTGTTATTCGTTTTAGTATAATTTTTTAAAATGAACCAATTTACTCGCGGAAAGACGCTTCATAGCCAAACAAGAGAAGTGATTGCGAATGTTTATAGGTTAGTAATAATAATATGCAATAATTGTAGTTTTTGACTACTGAGTCTGAATACAAATAAAAAACAAGGAAATGCTAAGCTAACATTCTGATGATTATTTATAGGGTTTGCGATGAGGAAGCGGCAAACAATTCCCTCAAGTTGCCGCTTAAACATAAGCTTGATAGGGTGTCCCTTTATACCGGAGTCGGACTATCTTCTGTTAGGAAAATTCATAACGAAGATAAAGAAAGACTAGAAAATAACCCGAATAAAATGTTATCCAGTCCCGGAAAAAAAAGACCGCGTCAGTCTCTTGTTGAGAAAGATGAAAATTTTGATTTTCAGATTATTAGACATTTGATAAACAGATTTTATCTTGAATATAAAGTTGTCCCGACAACTAGGAAGTTATTACAAAAGTTGCGAGAAGACTCAAATTTCCCCTATTGTAGGAGAGGCCTAATATATTGCAATGGAGGTACAAATACATCCGTGAAATACGTAGATATCGTGAAGAATGGCGCAACATTGTTTATTTGGACGAAACCTGGGTGGACAATGACTTGACTTTCAAAAAATGCTGGCAGAGCGAAACTGTTTCTGGTGTAATAAGCAGTATAGGTTCTACAGGTAAGCAAAAATGCTATATATATGTTAAATTTAACTCTGATTTGTAACATATTATATAATCGTCTTGTATATTTTAGGTCGGCTCATTATAGTCCATGCGGGTTCAGAAAATGGATTTGTTGACAATGCCTGTTTGATATTTAAGGCGGGATTAGCTACAGGCGATTACCACGGTCAGATGAATCGGGAAAATTTCACACGCTGGCTCACAGAAAAACTCCTCCCGAATATACCTGCCAATTCGGTTATAGTATTTGACAATGCTCCATATCATTCCGTCCAGGAAGATAAAACCCCGACAAAATCATCTTCGAAAAAAGATATAATGGCCTGGTTGACAAAGAAAGGTACTTATGACTCAAAACATGCATGTACATATCAAACTATACAATAAAATATTTTATAGGCATAAATCATGAGGCAACTGCCAGAAAATTTGACTTGTTCGATCTGGTCTTACTTCATAAGCCCCCTGACAACCAAAAAAATTATGTAGTTGATCGGATCATAAGATCACATGGACATACTCCTCTAAGAACACCTCCTTATTTATGCGAGCTAAACCCAATAGAATTAGCTTGGGCAAAGCTTAAATTTCATATAAGAAGCCGCAATACCACTGGAAACTTCAGTTTAACCGCACTGAAAGAAGTTACTCAGGAAGCGATGTCCTTAATATCCATTAATGATTGGCAGAAATTTTGTCAACATGCTAGGGACATTGAAGATAAATTTTGGGAAAATGATCAATTTATGGAGGAAATGGAACCAGTTATAATAACTATAGGGCAAGATGACGACAGCGAAACTGATGACGACAGTGACGATGATGATAATGATGAAGTTGACGAACACCAATGCTAATTCAATAGGTGAAATGTAATTTTGAAATGCTGTATAATGTAAGTATTATTTATTACAGAGGTTATAAGTTAAACGGATATGAAATATGTTTAAAGTTCTTTGTTTCTATTTAAGCGACATCGATGCTCTAGAAATATCCACATCAACAGTCCAAAATTGCAACAATAGGAATCCAGAAAGATGCGGATTATAAAATAAAAATTAATTCTGGTCATGTTTCGGCTTGTGGCACTTTTTAAAGTAAATGAGCATATTATAAGATCACGGATGTATAATATATATATATAAAAATAGTGGTGTCTGTTGCGTGGCTCAAACGAAATAAAAAATGGCACATGTTTATGCGGATCGGTTTCCCAATCGAGTGCAACCAACCCCTCGTGCCTTTGTTAATGTAGTACAACGGGCTCGTGAATCAGGTGACTTAAGACCTCACAGGGGACCTCACGATCAAATACAGGTCCGCACTGAAATACTTGTCGGGAGGATACTTTATAAAACAAGGTAAACATTTTTTTTTAATTTTTTTTATTTTTACACACATATTTTGGTTTATCTTCCTTCTACAATCATTATCTGAAAATTAATGACTCAACTTCAAAGTCACCTTGTATATATATATATATTCTCAAGGTAAAAAACCACGTTAAGTATCTATTTGTATTTGAAAAATATATTTTATTTACGGCTTTGACAAAAACGCTAGCTTGATTTAGGTTTTAAATCGCGCAGATATCATGATTTTTTGAATTGTGGCAATTTTGGGAAGTGAGTAGACATTTTTCCGTTTGTTGAAGTGTAGAAACAAACTCAAGTATTTTTTTACATGGTGTAGATTGTAGAGAACAGCTATTTTTGAGTTTACCCGAGACTTTGTTTATTATTATGGACAATGCTCCATATCATTGTGGGCTTATTGAGATACTCCCCAAATTTAAAGTGAAACATAAACGTATAGTTTACTAAATTTAAACCAATTATGAAATAATCCCAAACTTTTATAAAATACCGCACGCCGCTGGCATTTTATGAATGAAACCAGCCATGTTTTGCTTTCCCCTCACCGATACCCCGATGTTGCAGATCCGTTTGCCAAACTATACATGCACGGTCGTAACGTCTCCCACTCCACCTTCTGATTTGTCATTGGTTTTGTGTAAGGGCCAATAACAGTTATCCTCCCTCTCTCATGAAATGTATCAGTGTGCTGATTAGGCAATGATCACGCGATGTTCACTGTTTTGGTTTAGTCTCTTTCTTGGATACATACATAATAGTAAGGCGACGGTGAGGCGTTCTGCCTGTATTTAATCTATAGACGCCTTTAGCATTATTATGGACATTGACATCGACAGCTGAGTTAAATGTCAAATCGTCAAGTGAGGTTAGAATTCAGACTAAATGTCAGAAAACTATAACAAATAACAAAAAGAAAGTTGGATTTATATGCACAAAATAGTGCGAGACAATAACATTAAATTAGCTCTGGTTACGAACTAAGTTGATATTTTATACAAAAATACAACTCCAGCATGGGGAAGAAAGCAGAAGTTGGTACTCCGAAGTACCTTGCAAACAAAATGAAAGCAAAGGGGCTCCAAAAGCTTCGATGGTACTGCCAGATGTGTCAGAAGCAATGTCGAGACGAAAATGGCTTCAAGTGCCATACTATGTCAGAGTCTCATCAAAGGCAACTGCTCCTATTTGCTGATAACTCCAAAAGGTACATTGATGACTTCTCATTAGACTTTGCCAAAGGCTACATGGAGATACTTCGTCGGCAGTTTGGAACAAAAAGAGTGAATGCAAATAAGGTCTACCAAGAGTATATTCGTGATAGAGATCATATTCACATGAATGGTACACGGTGGGTCACTTTAACAGGGTTTGTGAAGTGGTTGGGGGCCACAGGACAGTGTGTTGTTGATGAGACTGAAAAAGGGTGGTTCATCACTTATATAGATAGAAGTCCAGAGACTGTGGCTAATGATGAAAAAAAGAAGAAAAAGATGAAAATGGATAAGAATGATGAGGAAAAGCAAATGGAGTTTATAGAAAAACAAGCAAAATTGGTGAGTGAAATGGCTGGTCCATCAGAGGAACCTGTTTATACCGAGCTAGTGAGGGAAAATGAAGAAGAACCATTGAAGCTAGATATAAAAATAAAAACAGAAAAACCTATGATCAATTCAGTAAAAATTCTACAGCTGTCTAAAAGACCTTCAGATTCTCAGCAAACTACTTCAGGCGATTCAAAGAAAATAAAAACTGAGAAAAGTAAAAAGACAGCATTAGATGAAATTAGAGAACAAGAAGAGTTAAAGAAGGAGAAGATGAACAGAAAAGATTATTGGCTTACTGATGGAATAGTAGTGAAAGTGATGAACAAAAGCTTAGGAGAAGACTACTATAAGCAAAAGGGTGTTATCAGAGAAGTGATAGACAAATATGTGGCTATAGTCAAATTGTTAGATAGTGGTAAAAAGTTAAAAATTGATCAAGAGCATCTGGAGACAGTAATACCGGCTATTGGAAAATTAGTGAAAGTTGTGAATGGTGCATACAGAGGTGAGACTGCCACTTTGTTATCTATACATGAGAAAAACTTTTGTGCTGAGATTGAAATCGCTAGTGGACTGCTTAAAGGGAGAAAAGTTAGTGGGGTTGAATATGAAGATATATGTAAATTATATGAGCATTGAACTAATATGAATGTATATATTTTTTGTACAGTACAACAGAAAACTTGTATTATATGTAAAATAAAGTTATATGGAATAGCTGGAAGAAAGCATTTTAATTGTTTGCTAAGAGTGTTTGGCGCGTGCGTTCAGAATATACAACAGATACCAGACTCTACCCATACTGTCTGCAATATTTCTTTACTGTGCAGAATCAGAATGGTTTCGCACTGTACAAACACAAACTTACAAATAAACTCGTTACGCCCTTTTTCCTACTTCAACTCTTCAAATCAATCGTCAGTTTTTTTGTGACAAGTGACATTAGCATGACAAATAACAGTTGGAATATTTCTTTGAGGTTATTATTTTGAAAATAATTATAAATAAAATAACTTATTAGTAACAATAGCCCTGCTTAACTCATCATGGCAGAAATATCAACTGGTACAGAAGACAAAGAAGTGAGCAAAATACTGAATAATCCACCACAGGACCCAGAAGCTGATAAACTTTCATCACCAGGATCTCCAGTTTTAAGTAATAATTTTAACAATTTAACCCGTAAATTATGTAAAAGAAGAAGCAGAGTAAAGCTTGCAGATAAATTTAAGTCAGAAACAGCAGTGGAACCTCTTGATAAACAAATTCAAAAGTTTCATGAAGAAAGTTTTACTGCTTCCCAAGCTAATAATTTGGCTGCTGTTTTGGATAGAATAGAGTCCATAGAACATAACAGACGGTTGTGGTATAATATGATCACCACTGATAAACAAGATGATATTTATTTTAAAAAACCACTACCATTGTGTTCCAAATCTCACATAAACAATAGCTCAGTTGAACTAGATGATATGCAGATTCAGAGATATGATAAGTCACAAACACATTTACCACCTGTTCAGCTACCAGTTTGCTCTAGTTTTCAGACTGCTGCAGGTAAGAAAATGGAGATATCTGATAGTGATATTAAAAAACAGGCTTGGATTTTTGAAGGCATACATCAGCCTACACTAGGTCGAAACACATGTAATGCAAAACAGTATAACTTCTTGCGAAAGCCTGACACAGGACAAAATAATGCTACTGATATAGGCAATAATGTAAATGAAGAATCTAAGTTTAGAAAAAGCAATGCCTCAAAAATATCTGAAAATGTTGATGATGCTATTTCTTTAACTCAAGAAATTAGTAAGTCAGGAATTAGTGATACACAGATATTATCTATTGTAGACATATATAATATGGTTCAAAATAGTCGATCAGAGAATCTAGAACCACATGAGAAGATATTTAATAAAAATGTTTCAATAAAACAAGAAAGCATTAGTCAGAATAAGAAGGAAGATCAAGTTACATTCATAGGATTTTCTAATAATGATATTGAACAATCACATAGTCATGTTTACAGCTTAAAAAATACTATTAAAAAAATCTCTACAAGATGTAGCAAAACTTATTCTGAAAACAACAGTAAGAAGCGAGTCCATGAGTTGGTTGAAATGCCTGCCAGCAAGAAAATGAAGCTTGGTCCATTTAATGCTGGGATTAAATCTAGCAGCGTGGTTAGAACTTCATGCAGTTTTTCAAGTGCTTCTGGGAAACATATCATTATAACATCTAATGCATTTAAAAAAGCTAGTAATATTCTTGATAACATAGAAAATGATCTAGGAACTCTGGAAGTAGCTAGAAGTACAGATTCTGATAGTTTAAAGAAATCTACTATGAGTCTGGATCCACAATGTACAAATTGTGATGATCCAGCAAACTTGTTAAGTAAGAATCAAGTGTTGTATAACCCACAAAGTATCCCCAAAGAAGTAGCTCATAAGTCTATATTGAAAAATATCAACTGGAAGCTAAATAATCAAAATGTTTGCTCTGGTTTTGCCACTGCTTCTGGGAAATCTATGGTAATATCTGAGAAGTCAAAACTGAAGGCAAAGCAAGTGTTTGGGGAGATTCTGGATGACACTACAGATGGTCATATAGTAAGAACCACAATAAAGAATAAGCATACGTTATTAGATGATGCTATAAAGAAAGCTGAATGTTCTGGAAAACCTGAATCTGGCATAATTCCACAGTGTACTGAAAAGTCTATTATATTGAATAATATCAATTATAGGGTAAATAACGAAAATGCTTGCCCAGGTTTTGCTACTGCTTCAGGAAAATCTATGAAAATATCTGAAAAATCAAAAATAAAGGCAAAGGAGGTTTTTGGAAACATTTTTGATAACACTGGAGATGACAATATAGCAAAAACCACATCTAAAAATAAGCTCAAGTTATTAGATGAAGCTATAAAGGAAGCTGAAACTTCTGGAAAACCAGAATCTAACATAATTCCAGATTGTGTTGAAGGTGATCTAAAAAATCATGATAGTTTCCACAAAGTGCCAAGAGAAAAACTTGATTTTACTAATGCTTCTGTAAAGTCTATTATATTGACTAATATCAATTTTAATACTGAAAATGCATGCTCAGGTTTTGCTAATGCTTCAGGAAAATCTATGACAATATCTGAAAAGTTAAAATTGAAAGCAATGGAGGATTGTGGAGACATTTTGGACAGCACTGAAGGTGACAATATAGCAAAAACTATATCAGTGAATAAGCTTATGCTACTGGATGATACTACAAGGAAAGCTGAACATTTCAACAGATCAGAACCTAACAGCTTTCCAAAAAGTGTTGAGAATGACCAAAAGTTGCCAACAGAAACACTTGGCTTTACTAATGCTGATGGAGAAAAATATCAGCTATCAGAGTCCTCATTGTCAAAAGCAAAGCAAATGCTTGGAGATTTTATAAGTAATGAAACTGAAAGTGCAAATAGATTGGCTTCTAAGAACAAATTCAAATTGTTAGACAAAGCAATTAAAAAAGCTGAAATCAACATGGGAATCCAACCAAGTAGTGTTGAAGATGATTTTCGAAAAAGGAACCTCAAAAATACGATACCGCCTCAACTGCATAAGAATCCATTTCAGCCTAAGTCATTTGGAGACCAAGTAGTAGACCATTCTGAAGTGCATACTCCAAAAAGAGAAGACAGTTTATTGAAAAGACAAAAAAGGAAATTGGGGATATCCTCTTGCAAGCAAATCAGAATTCCAGAACAGAATTTGAAGAAGGCAAAATTGTTATTTGACCAAGAGATCCAAAGTATATCACCTGTTAAACCAATAGGATTGCATATCCAACAGAACCATAACACTCCTGTGCGTCTAGAGGGTTCTTTCAGTAGAACTGATGGAAAGTATTGTTCAACTCCACTACAAAATAACCTGGCCACCTTAAAAACTCTGCCAGTTGAAAGTCCAATTGTACCAGAAAGGAGAATATCATATGAAGGTCCAGAATTAAGCCCAGAGTCTTTTTTTGTCTTTGGAGCTCCAACTAAAGGATGTATGGCTGATTGGGTGATGAAATATAGTGAAGAGAGGAAGCTACTCGAAGAAAAGTTGAAGAAGATACAGGATAGAGAGGCAGAGTTGCTCAAATTAGATGAGACAAAGACAACTGAAAATAGGTATTTTTTTATATGACATATAATTGTTGGGTGTTTACAATGATATTCTTACTAAATGAGTCTTAAAATCAATGGAAAAGTTGCTACTTCATGTAACAAATTAGATTAAAATGTTGTGGAATTCTTAACATTTCTGGAGGTAGACAGAACAAAACATTTAACATTTAGTCAACAATAAAATTCAGCAATACTTTACTAACTACTGTGTTTTTGAATGTTATATCATTTTAGGATTTGTTTGGGGGTCTTGTATCAGAAAAAGAAGTCAAGCAACAGACTTAACTTGAGAGTACTTTTGGATGAAATATGCACATCTGAAGACACAAATCAAGATTTATTTTTTGTTAGTCCTGAAAATGCTGCAGATTTTCATTTCAAGTAAGTACTTGTATATATGTGGACCATTTTTTTCTTGTTTCCATCAGTATCTCATTATTTAACAAGCACTTTCCATCAAGAACTAACTTTAAAAATTGCCGTCGTAAACACAATGAATTATTTTTGAATGCTGGCACTCTTCTTGAATAAAAATGGAATAAATTGGTTCTAATTATACTTGTAGATGTGATGTTGTTCTGAACACAGAGGATGGTGCTACAATTGTCCCAAATCTGGACGATTTAGTTGGTTTATCAGAAATACAGTTAGGTATAGAAACTATGGCTGGTGTAGAAGCTAGGCTGATTCCTACAAACTGGATCAAAAACCACTACAAATGGATAGTGTGGAAATTGGCAAGTTATGAAAGGAGGTTTCCCAATAAATGTAAAGGCATTTTGAATATAGAAAATGTTGTACAACAATTAAAGTACAGGTAAATGTCAGATAACCAATGACGAGAATACTGTATTGACCCATTGGTACGTTTTCCATTATGAAACTAATTTTTAGATACGATCGTGAAATAGACAAAGTGGAAAGATCTGCACTGAGGAGAATAGTTGAAAGGGACGATGCTCCTCAAAAACGTATGGTACTCTGTGTGTCAGCAATCAAAAGTGTAAGTGAATATGTATTGAATTTGGTGATGGTATGACACTTGAACCTACATTTCATGGGCGCCACATATTCCGTGGAACGGAAATGACAATTTTGCACTACAACATTCTTATATTTTGAGGTTCATTCCAGCAATTGAGGTTAAACTGTAAAAAAAAAAATTAAAAAATCCCTGCGTTTTGTGGTTTGTTCGCGCAGTGGTCGGTGACTTGTCGGTGATTGTGTCTGAGATCCGGCCGTGTGTATTCCGTCTATATAGCGTAGCAGAATGAACGGAATTTGTGTGGCGGGATCTTGGACACGATCACTGACAGGTTGTTGACAGCTGTACGAACAGGGCTTTGATGTGCGTATTTTTCGATCGATAACAATATCTATAATTTCAGAAAGGCTTTACTAAACATGAGATAGAGCTAACAGATGGATGGTATGCTGTGAAAACTGTGATAGATGAACCTCTATGCGCTCAGGTATATGGAAA